GTGTAATATATATGTATATAAATGACATTTTATAACATTAAATAACATCAGCACATTAATATTACCATGGCTCGTAGGACCCGTGTGTGGTTCAGAAGTCCTTCCTGCAGTGACATCAGCTGCTGGTAATCAACTTTAACTGTCACTGTTGCGTTGAAACGGTTTCCTCTGTTGTTAGAATAGTTTGCTGATCCTTAAAGATACAGCAACACAATTTCTATTACATGCATTTCTTATAACAATTAAAGAAAAGGAAAAACTCTCGATCAGGAATATATACTCACTTGCAGGATGACTGCAGGAAGACTCGTCCGGTCCTTGACAGCATTTCTGCCAGCCTGGGCAGTCCATGTCCCACTCACACTCCTCAGATCCAGGATGAAGTCCATCTACTGTTGGACAGGATCCTGGCTTGGCAGCGAGCCCCCCACTTCTGCTCACAGCTTCATCCGAGGAAAATTACATGTTGCAAACCACATATTAGCTAAGAGTTTCTAGCAGCAGTGGAATTCTGTGCTCCCATCTGCTGTCTCGTATAAAGCACCACGCACTTAAAGGTCACGCTGATTGGACGTCAGTTCACAGTGACAAATTTGATGATGTTATATCATCTTATATTACCAAACACAAGCAGAGTTAAAGTCTAGGGAAAAAGCACTGTAGTAAGTAATGAGCAGACACTTACGTATGGCACAGTAACGACCAGCTTGTACGTAGCCGTTGCAGCACTTGGTAACCTGCATAATGACTGTCCGATTCTCGGTCTTGGGAACCATCTTGTATAGTGTGGCGTTGCATGTCTTCCACAGGAGCCAGCCACCACACGGTTTGCTCACAGTGTAAGGAACCTTGTGCATCACCAGGAAACTCACCCACCTTGTCTCATTGTGAATACACAGGTGGTAGCCAAGTGCAGACAGACTGCTTCCTGAAATATAAAAAAGAATGTGTTCAATTGTAACACTGTTTTTTCCCCCTTTAGTCATCTGGGCACATAACCACATCTGATGTAATCCTAGGTTGCTAGTGAATCTTGATTTTTGACTCCAATAACAGCAATAACTAACATTTTAACTTATACTATAGTATTTAACAGTTGGAAACTTTACAAAAACTAACAGATATTTCATTTAGTTAGGACAGCACAGTTGAGTCATGTTAATGTGTCATCATCATATAAGGGCCTACCTTCATGCACAGTGTTCTGTCCCTTACAGAGAGCCAGCAGAGCCGCAGCCCAGACGGAGAGCATCCAACTCATTTTTCACAGATCGAAATCGCAATCCTAGATGTAATGGCTGCATTGTGTGTGCATGTTTCTCTTTGAAATGATGCTAACAAACTGTTAAGTGTTCAGGGTGTACTCAAAGACTAATTCCTCTGTGGCGCTGTCACTCTCCTCCCCCTGCAGCATCACCAGTCGCCAATGGTAAAAAAAACATTTGCAGAAAATAAGCATTGAATAAATATAAATATTTGGGCTATGTTTTCATTTTGAAGAAGACTTGTAAAGTATATACAGAAATTTAAAAAAAAAGGTTTGGGATCCTGCATCGTCATGATGTGCTGCAGCATAACACATGTTTAAGTTTAATTACTCTGAGTGAAAACCTCCATGTAAAGAGAACTATTGAATTTATACCTGCAGATATAAATATTAATTAATTAATTATTTTTCTGGTCTAAGATCAGTTTACATGTTTATGATTGCGACAACAGGAGACAGAAGAGGAATAGGAGGAGTCAAAGTCCCTGGTGACTTGGTTTCCTCCTGGTTTCCACAGGTAACCATGGCAGTGCTTGCAAAGCTGCCAGCATTAACAGCCTGTGTCAGCCATTAATGTCAAGCAAAGGAGGAGTGTGAAGATTCTCTGCCATTTTCCCACACGTCTCTGTTCCTATCATAGAAAAGAGCAGTGGGACTGATATAGTTCTGGCCTGTAAAGACACAACCTTAATTTTATTCATGTAATGCCATCATTTAGAATGATCACACACTGTTTTACAAAATGTTTTATAGAGTTGCTTCACAGCCCTGTTGGTTAAGTAAACCTGTCAACAAATCCCTACAGAATTTTAGTAATGACACAAATCTATTGTCCTGCTATAGTGACAAGCGTTCAGTCACAGATATAATTAGTTTCACTGGGGTTAAGCGGGCCTGTCATTACATGCTTTCACCATGTTAACTACGGAAATTAGAACCACCAAAGACTGTGGTTTGTTGAAGACAATGCAACACATTACTGAGAGAGTGAAGAGTAAACTATGGTTGCTTTTAATACACTTCTATTAATGATAAATTAGGTCAGATAATCTCAGTTCACAATATAATTTAATTAAAAACAACAGCTGATCAGTAGTATCTTATAATTCCCATGCTCTGGTTGCAAAAATAATATTTTCTTATTCCATACTGTGTCCTTAGAAAAGCCATTGTGCTGGTCCATGAGTTTCATTATTACTTTTTTCAAATCTAATAATTGTCATGTACTTATACTTGTCATGACAATAGCATGGAGTTCTGCTCTCCTGTAGAGCTGGACACTACTAGTGATGTGACAAACTTGTGTGCAATAGTCAAATAAAGAGCTGATAATAATAAATTAATTCTATTAATAAAGATGGCAATATAAATAAGTATAGCAGAGGAGCTGTGATGACCATATGCATCCTGTGGCAAAATTAAAAAAGTTGATATTAATTAATTAATTAATTAGTTCATTGATTAATTAATATTGGGTGGATGTTTTGTTCTATTTTAAGAAGATACTAGTAAACTTAGCTTTTGAGAATTTACTTTACTTAACTGACAAATATGAAACAAAAAATAAGATCTTTTCCTTTAAATGAGCCTCGACGTCCACTCTTCCGTTTTCCCCGCCTCTTTCTTCCTCAACAGCCAATCGCAGCATAGTGCACGTGACGAGCGTTCTTTGAGATGACCTCATCCCTGGTGTGGGATGACGTCAAATTCAAGATGGATGGAATCACGACTAGTACGCTGGAAGCCACACAACAGTGAATAAAGTGGCGACTGTGTGGAGTAGGGAGCGTAGCGCCGACGGCCACGGTAAGTGTAGGAATATCTTCGAAGTTCATGTTTGACAGAGGAAGAAACTGCAAGCTTTTTTGTTTTTTTTAAATTTTCCTTTCTGACGTAACTCAAAAAGAGGGACTGTGCTGCTGGTAAACATGACCAGCTCCAAACCGTCATAGGCTCCGTCCTGTCAGGCCGACGTAAACCGTCTCTGTACACAACATAAATCGGTAATAGCGAAACTAAAAAAATTACTTCCACTGGGGTTAGCGAGGACCTCCGACCCCCTAGTCCGCCCGCAGCCACTGTTTTCATTCCGGGATTATTGCCGCCGTACTAGAGACCACTGAAACGTGCTTAACTTTTTTAGCCAGTGTATTATAACGGTAAACAGCTTTCTGGTGTTGATCTTTTACACGCCTGCGCCAAGACACACACTGATTGAACGGTTTTTTTTATTTTAACTGACAGCGACATTTATCATTTTTATTTTTTTTAGTTAAAACTAGTTGTGTGCCGTAGAAGGATGAGCCACGTCTCATGATGATCTCATGGTGAAACAGTTCGACTTCCTCATATAGCTCTGAGGCTACTGCATCCGTCGTAAATGCAACTTTGTCTTGCTCGCTGTTTTTTGAATGAATGGACGGATTGCATACTAACGTGTAACAACCTGTTTTCTATAATGCAACACAAAAAATCTTCCGGTCACAGCAGAACAAGTCATTTTATTCTTCTTTTAGATCTTCCGGTCACAGCTTTTAGAACAAGTCATTTTATTCTTCTTTTAGGAAAGCCACCTCTTACTACATATTTATTAAACATACTTTTACATTCGCTTTGCTTCTGAATTATTATTTCATGGGTTAGTGATTCTCTCTCCATGTCTCTCTCTGTATACTATATAACTCTATGGTTCAAGTCTAAATGGTCTTAACTATGTAATACTGGGTTCAACGTTGCAGGATTGAATTAATTGTCTAAACAACTGTTGTGTCACTGATTTATTAATCAAAACGCAAATATTAAAAATACATAATGTTGGATTTGAATTTACTACCCACACAATATCACTCAGTAAATACGGTAGATAGGATCTCTGACCTCCTCTCTCAGTACACCTACACGGTTTAATGCTCTACTGACATACAGCTCTGATGACATCATAGTGACATCATGGCTACCCTATCTTAATAAACTGTTTCTCAGTCTGTGTTGCTTTATGTCTTGTCTATTTAGTTTTGAAGGATGTAGAAATTCTATCCATGATGTCATTTCCTGACATCATGATGACCTCATGATGTCTCATATGTGAGTGGCACTAATTTTTAGATGTGGGTTTAACATTCCTATATGTCAGTGTTAAGCAACGGTGTTTTTCTTCATTTTTAAATTTAATAATTTACTTAAATTTTTTTTTTTTGAAGTTTATCATGTCATTCAGTTGACAGGTGTAAAACCATTGATCATCTATCAAAGGGCTGCTTATTTGATGATTTTTTTGTGTGTGTGTTTTTGCTCTAGCGTTAAAAATAATTCTCTTCCCTTGTCTTGCAGTCATGGAGAGCCTCGTACATTACAGTAACCCCTCCCATGCCCTCTCAGTGTTGGGGCTTCTCAATGAGCAGCGGCTGCGTGGTCAAATGTGTGATGTAGTCCTGGTTGTGGCAGACCAGAGGTACCAGGCCCACAGGAGTGTTTTGGCTGCCAGCAGTGAGTATTTCCAGTCTCTGTTCACACGGATGGATGCAGACTCACTTAAAGTTGTAAACCTGGACTTCTGTGAGCCTGATGCCTTTGAGATTGTTCTGAATTACATCTACTCCTCTTCACTCTTCGTGGACAAAGGAAGTCTGGCAGCCATTCAAGAGCTGGGCTACAGTCTTGGAATCCCTTTCCTGACCAACATTGTGTCAGCGCGGCCACACGCATTGTACTCTGTGTCCAGGAAGAGACTTTCCTTCTCCGAAGGGGATGAGAATGATGTCCAGACAAGGAGTGTCATTGTCTGCCGGGTCAGGAATGACTCAACTCATCCTTCTCGCCCAAATTATCAGAGAAAAACACCACAGAGATCGTTATCTCCTCATTCAACTTATGTTACACACCCACCATCAGATCAGAGTTCACAGGAGTCTGTGAGAAACTGTGAATCTGTAAGCAGGAAAATGTCAGAACAAAATGAAACTGCTGAAAGTAAGTCCACCTATCCATACTCCTCCATATTAAAAGGGAATTCCTCACTCATCAAATCTGTAAGACCTCAGCTGACAACCTCCGTGTCATTTAGTGATGCTGAGATGCAGCACATCATGATGCAGTCCTGCACCGACCGAGGTATTGAGGAGGATGAGATTCAGGGGCAGGGCTATCACACCAAAGTGCCCTTTGAGGGTAAGGCCTGTGAGCCGAGCCAGAACATCGACAGGAGTGGACCCCTCATCAAAAGCCTGCTCCGGAGATCATTATCCATGGACAGTCCTGTTCCAGTATTTTCTCCCACACTGGAGCTCAAGGATCTGCAAAATCGAGAGCAGTCTGTGGTCAAGATGGCATCAAAAACATCTAGAACAGAAACGACTTCTCAAAATGGCAGTTCCAAAAACACATCATCTCTGGTTCTCAGGCCAACGTATCCCAGCAGGCATGATGAAGAAACTCAGGTAGAAGGAGACGTCAGTGTGAAAGCTGAGCCAAGCAGTCCACTGGCTGACCCCATGGACATAGTCCGAATCACAGTGGGAGATGCTTTACCAGTAAATCTTAAAGACTTTCAAACAAATTATGATCAAGGTCCAAGGCTAGACCTAAATCCACTGGGAAAAAGAAGGGAAAGACCAGACAACAGAAGGTACCCTTTCAAGAAAAACAAATTATACAAAGAGCACACGTTCTCACATAATGAGAACATGTCAGACACAGTGCGTCAGAGCAATGAGTCGAGTGCGAACAGAGAGGAGTCATCCAAAAACACCATTTTCAAATGCTGGAACTGTTTGAAAGTTTTCAGGTCCAGCGCTGGACTCCACCGTCATGTAAATATGTATCACAATCCTGAAAAACCATATGCCTGCGAGATCTGCCACAAACGCTTCCACACCAACTTCAAAGTGTGGACACACTGCCAAACTCAGCATGGCGTTGTCCAAAATCCAGCCTCATCCTCGAGTACATCTGTACTGGATGAAAAGTTTCAAAAAAAGTTAATAGATATTGTGCGCGAGAGAGAAATAAAGAAAGCTCTGCTTTGGAAGTTAAAAAGAAACAAACAGAGTTTGCAATCTCCTGTACTCACCAAGAAACGATTAAGACCCAGCTACATATGTCCATACTGTGGTAAGGTTTTTGTGTTCCAGTCTCAGTACAGGCAGCATTTAAGAACACATCCTGCAGAGAAACCTGACCAGGACACAACAAGCGACGGCACTCTCTACCAGGAACAGGATGACATCACTCAACAGAAAAACACAGACACTGGTGTTTACTCTTGTCGACTCTGTAATATGAAGCTGTCCTCACTTTACGAGCAGGGAAATCATGAAAGGGGCTGTCGACATGCGACTGTATGTCCGTACTGCGGCCTCAGATTCTCAAGTTCGTCCGTTAAGAGGGACCATGAGGCACACTGTAAGTATAAGAAACTTACATGTCTGGAGTGTATGCGAACCTTTAAATCCTCCTTCAGCATATGGCGCCACCAGGTGGAGGTCCACAACAACAACATGATGACTGTTAGGGATCAGCTTCATATGAAGCAACAAGAGAACAATGAAGACATAGCGCCAGACATGCTCAGAGATGACACCTTCAGTGATGAGCCTTTGACCACGGGGCACTTGAGGGAGAACGTCAACTACAGTGACTCCTCTGGTCCACACATGTATGATTCGGAAGACTCCTCATCCTACGTGCCCGAGGATCTGAGCATGGCTCACTATGGAAAGCTAGTAGTAAAAGAAGAGCCTTTAGAAGAGGCTGTGAGTGAGAGGGAGAGCGCAGAGGCTGCCAAGTCTGGGTCTGAGGAACCCGGTGTATGGCCATGTGAGAAATGTGGTAGTCTTTTTAGCTCCCGCAAAGACCTGGAGCGACACCAGGAACTACTATGTCACATTAAACCCTTCATCTGTCACATCTGCAACAAAGCCTTCAGGACCAACTTCCGCCTTTGGAGCCACTTTCAGTCCCATGTTCATGAACCTGAAGCCAAAGAAACAGAACCACTGACTCCCTCTCCTCCCACGACTCCTCTGAACTGTGAGGGTCGCTCCCCACAGGCCAGCATGTTCAAATCCACCCAGGCAGCACCAGTTACCAGTGCAATGACCGAGGAATCTAGTAGCCCCGAGCCCTCTAGTTCGTCAGCAGGCAAGACAAAGAGGCTGGAACCAGAACAACAACCCGGCAGACGAAGTCCTCTGTCAAGGTCAGAGAGTGTGGAGAACACAGGTGGCTCTCAGGAATCAGACACTCTCTTTTACCATGCACCCTCACTCTCTGCTCTGACGTTTAAGAGGCAGTACATGTGTAAACTGTGTCACAGGACCTTCAAGTCGGCCTTTAGTCTGTGGAGTCATGAGCAGAGTCACAGCCACATCTGAGTGACGGCGCAGTATGTTCTTCGTTAGACAGGTTACATGATATTAGAATAACGAGACCTCAGCCTAAAAAAAGACTTTGAATGTATAGTTGGTTCACTCGCCACCAATGTCAAATATTAGCATGGCCATGTACAATAGAGGTGTAAACGTGAATGTGCAATCAAGTGCTAGATGCTTCAGTGAAACAAACTGATCATAAACTGTTTCTTTTGCTTTATCATTTCATTTATCTATCTTAACTTGTACTTACTTATCTAGGTGTTTCAAGAAAACAGGATTCAGAGTTGAACCACTTAGTGAACAGTGGGACAACGAAGTCCAGGTGTTTTCCACACGTGGAAAAAGTGCTCTCAACATTTGAAGGTGGCAGTTGAATTCAATATTAGTGCTTTTGCTTTTGTGTCAGATCTGTGGTTTGATGTGAGTGATATCCCTTGAGATTATCAGTGGCCTCAACAAGGTATTTAATATGCACTTTGTAAGTTTTAATCTGTTTCATGGGCAAACGTGTGACTTCGCTTTTCTGAATATCACAACTGATTATTTGGGCTGAAGAAGAAAAACAAAAACAGCCACCCAGCAGTTTCTGTTTTTTTTTCCTTATACTCACGCAGCATTCCTCTGACTTTTGTTCTCTCATACATTGGCCTCTGACTGGATGACCTTCAGTTTAATCAGCACAAACCATCCATCAGACACACCTCTGACACTTCCTGTTGTCCTTATCTCAGTCATGACTCACTGCTCACAAACTTTATTCAGCCTCAAGTCTTGTGAATCATTTTAAAAGTGAATGAAATGGTGCAGTTGATATTTGAGAACGGTGTTTAAACTAGGGCTGTGAAACTATTCCAATTTAGAAATTTGAAATTTGACTTTCCTAAAAGAGAAGTGACAGCACGTAGATGTCTGTGCATCACGCTTGTTTTAATCTGAGACTAATCCAAATGATGAAATTATTAATATTGGAAAAATGTTAAGAAAAATGTGAAAAATTATAACTCAAACTTGTTTTATATACTTTGGGTGAATTTTTGACATTACTGTGCATCTTTGTAGATTCACTTACAAAATTTAGAAGAAGCCTCTGGTAATTGTGACCTCTCTGCCGACCTGCCCTGTGCTGGATGAGACTGGCATCTTACCTAAAGGTCAACTCTTCAGAAACTCATGCTGGGTGTTCAGATGGTAATTTAAGCTGTTCTCTGAAACAAACACCTTTTCCTGCAATGTGTTCAAATACTAACACGTGTATCAACTTTGTAGAGAAACAATAGTTGGATCAACAGTTGATCTATTGGTTATACAGATCTTGCCATTCTGCATCTGTTAAAATTTGTAAAAAAAATAATTGTAATCTGATTAATTACACAAATAATTTAACATGGTCAGCATAACCATGTTGACAGCCCTGGTTTAAACCATTGTTTCCAAAGTGTGAAGGGAAAGCATTTAAAAGAAATTGGTGCTCAGAATAAAAAACATTAATTCTTAGTGACAAAAAAGAGTGGTTTTAAATAATTAAAAAAAGCATTTCGCTGGTATTAAGCCTAATGTGCCAGATTCTAGAAATCAAGGAGAAATAATGACAGCAGGCATTTTTGTAAAGCTTTTGTAAAAGCACACTGCATTTTGTAAATGCAGCATTTAACAAATACTGTAATGAATGTCAAAATTGTCATTTGTATATTTCAGAATCAATTCCTGGTTCATTCATGAAGTCGGGTGCTCCTGCAGCATCAGCAGTGTTATGTAATTTCTTGAACACTGATAGATTTGTGCAATCATACAGGTGGTGATTAACCCAGCTTTACAGTGCTTTTGGTGGCCTTATGCAAATGCTTAATTACTTATTTTACATATAAGCACAATAGTGTTTCAGAGGACCTACGACTCAGGCATTTAGATTTAAGGTGGTACAGTGAAGGAGATGGAGGCATGAGAGGAGCTGATCATTTATTCTGTAAATGACGGGAGAATGTTTCTGCTTCCTTACGGACTAATAACTTAAGATTGTGTTTTGATTGTATTCCAGTTGTTCCACAATTGTCTTCTTGTACAAGTATATACTTCTGCTTTGGCTTGACTGATTAGAAGTGTGCTGTAAATTATTAAAACTGTTCTGTTTAGGATTATTGCCCTACACAGATCCACAGGGGCCTTGTTTCCCTCCCAGTGAGTAACACGATCTTCGTAGTAATGTAAGATTTGGTTGAACATTGTATCGATAAATAGTGCTCTTAATTTCTCGTGAGGAACATTTTCTCAAAGTTCACAGAAATTCGACTTGTGTATATAAGTGTTTGTATCCTGGATTTTGTACGGATTTTGTTAGTATAAAAATCTTTCTAGTATTTCTGTGCTCTTACTGCAATAATGAATACTGTACTGTTTGTATCAACATTGGTTGTATTGTTGCTTTTGAAGACTTGCAGCTGTTTTGTGTTTAGGTTTTTCTACAGTTTTTGTGTTTTGTTTTGGGTTTTTTTCTGTAATAAACGGTAACACTCGACAACACCTGTACATTCATCTGTGGAACTTGAATTATTTGGTTTAAGCGAGATGTAAAGTTACCCAGTCAGCTGTAGACATTGTTATGTTGAGTTTTTAGAGATGAAATTCTGCCACAATTCATTAAATATTGGCAGAAATAAGGGTTGTGGCAAGAATCAGGCGATATGATACGTATCACTCTCTGCATACCACTAGAGGGAGCCCAATTACCACTAGAGGTACTAGTGCCATAGTTTGAGAACCACTGGGTACTGCAGTAGAAAATAAAAGAATATATGAGGACAAGGATCAAGCTTACTAAAGGCTTATTGTTTTTATGGTAATTTTAACAGTAAAAATGCTAATCACTATATAAAATTAAATTAACAGTAAGTACAGTTTATTTAGTATTAATGTTTGTGCCTGTTTCTGTATTCATTTTTTGTAATATTTTAACCTTCAAAGAGTATGACAGACCTTTCCATGCATACTGTAGCAAATACTATATATTTTATCATGTTTTATATATAAAAAAAACAAAGAAAACTTTAGAAATTGAATGGTTTAGTGATTTAGATCCCTTGAATTTATTACCCAGGCATATATAACAAATGACATCCCTTTACTGAACCTCTGCTTATTCCGTGGCTTTCCATGTACAGTGTCTGTAAGTGTTTGGCTCAAACATTTAATTACAGACTCTTTTCTGTTATCTGGCATCATTTTAAAACCACATACAGTACATGCAGTAGTTAAACAGCACTGCAGACTGGAGTGGGCCAAAGTGAAAGTTCTCCGCTTTATTTTAACTCCTCTTTTTGAGAGTTCCAATTTGGAGCCACAGTTGCAGTGTTTTTCAGCCCTTCATTTAATGTACATACACTGTTTTGCCAATACTGTTTTACTTTTTTTTTAAACCCCAGACAACCCTAGTTAGCACTATAGACCAGTGGTTCTCAAACAATGGTAAAACAAGTTTTGAACTTAGTCTAGTGGTGTATGGAGATATCTGTTTTAATTTGTGTATTTATAATGTATATGGTTTCAGACGTGCCAATTGTATTTGCTGATAAATGTTAATAATCTCATTGGGAATACATTTTTTACTTTGTATGCTACTAATTTGGACATTATTAATGGTTTTGTAAGGTATGTTTGTGTGAATACTGTTTCCTAAATAAATTTATTTCCTCCATGAATTAACCCATTGAAGTACTGTATATTGTATCTCATATAAATGCATGTCTTCCAAAAAGTAAAGATAAAAAACATTTAGTTCTCATTTTGTGATGAGTTTACCAAAACACATCATCCTGTTGGTGGGGAGAGAGGGTCTTTTTTGGACCTATGTTACAATCACTTGCTAGAAAACTAGGGAGTGAACCTAGGAAGTGTTTGCTTTTATTTGGGAAAATGGCTCCCTGGAAATCCTGTCCTAGCCGTATGTCAGGTCACACAGTACATTGACATGTAGAAAACCTCAACACAATTCTTTGTCTTTATTTGTCATTGTGACACAGCACAGCACAGCACACCATGCACAACGAAATTTAACCTCTGCATTTAACCCATCACCAAAGTGAACAGTGGGCAGCCGTGGTCAGCGCCCGGGGAGCAGTGCTTGAGGATGATGCCATGCTCAGTGCATCTCAGTGGTAACCTGGCAGTTGGTGGATTCGAACCTGGGGCCTTCCGGACCGAAGTCCGCTTCCTTTACCTAGGCCACCACTGCCAATTAATCTTTTATGTTAGAGAATATTGTGAAACCAATTTAATCCATCAAAGCACTATTCCTAACAGTATTCAGATGCAGTATTTAATATAGAAGACTCTGTACTGATGACAGTCATAAATCACAATAAACATTTATTGTCAAAATTTACATAACTTACAGATTCCACAATATTAACAACACAAATTTGCAGGCAATTACATGAAGCACTGTGAGTGCTCTACTGTCTCAAAGTTACTTTTTTAAAAGGGTGGAGGTGAAAGCAGTTTGAGTAAAAAGATTAAGTGGATCATTTCATTATTAACCTTGAGGTACAACCAAACAGATAAACAGGGGCTGAGAGTCCATATATTGACTATACAAACACCTTTTTAATTAAGCAGTACAGGTGGTGATAAATTATATCTTTAGGCAAAACTAACACGGCAGGTGTGACTTCAAATATAAAGCAGAGTGGGCTGATCCACCTTTGATTCTTCTCTGTTTTACAGTGTCCTTATAGTGCCAACGTGTCCTTTATTAGCCTCCTCATGGTCGTGCTTACAGAGGTGCCCAAAGAGTCAGTGATCTGGTATGTAATTTTGTAAAGGTATGGCTGGACATCTTTGAGACTTGTGTCAAAAACATTGTCCACTTCTGACTGCGTGGGCATCTTTGGCAAGTATTCGTGTCGATTTATGACCTCAACAACGTTGATCACTTTCTCGCCGAGCTTCTCACCCACTTTTTCCCTGCAGATCTGTCTCTCCTGCTCATTGGCAAGGTTGACAACATTGACCTTGATGCTCCACACCTCCCAGGGAATACACTCGTCAGAAAAAGGCCAACGAGACTTTTTCTTCTGGTAGAACTCCAGGGAGATTTGTCCCATGCCATCACTCCCAGAATTGCTCAGAGCATCCTGTAAGCAAAATAAATGTGGTATATACTGTAACTGTGTATCTTCTTTCTAAACAACATTTTTTAACACTCAGTTAACAAATAATTTGGTGAATAAAATGCAGACATGATGGAAATGTATGTTTCCTATCTGTTCTACCAGTTTTCGTTCATGTAAGGTTATATATCACTTGGTTTGGAATAATTCTAGATTTCCCTTTATTACAACGGCTAATGATGTTTCTTAAAGGTAGACATTGTCATGTGTAATATAAAAAAGTATTTTTAGACTGATACTGGATAGATTGTGAATGTGTCAATTTTATTTATACAGTTTATATATTTATAAAATTTACCGTCTTGAATATTAGTGTTGCTAGCCTCGCTACTGAGCACAGCTTTGGGTATACAATGTCATGGTGAATATTTACCTTGAATTCAGAGACAGCCTTCCTGATCACTCTGTCCAACTCTTCTGAGGACACCCTGACAAAGGTGAAATCGATGAAGTCGCAGTCTATGTCCACTGTGCCCACTGTGCCGATGGAATAGGTGCCCTCCTTTTTGTAATGAAACTTGCCTGTGCTACGATGCAGTAAGATGGTGTGAAGCAAAGAAAGTATGGCCTCTTCCACTTGTCTCGCCTCAACTGTAACCTCAAGAACTTCCGAGCGGCAATTCATTGTGACAGAATAGTTATTTATATTTACATGGAACGACACTAGCACTGAGATGATGGCTGCTAGGAGCAGCTCACATTCACTTTGTTTACCTCTTGTCGTGGGAGGAGCTTGTTCCGTGTTATCGTTTTATACTCACTTAACACATTGAATAATAGCCGAAAAATGAAAAATTATCTTCGAATGTGTTTTCTGAATAGTGAGTGTAGTGGCATAGTCTCATTTCCCAGCTAGCTGACTGTTTGCTACAAACAGTACAGCAGAATATGTAAGCGATGACGATGACAACAGACAAATCTACGGCAATTCGTGCAGGCAAAAATCGTAGCCTTATGCCGCTTTTCGTCAGCCTTGCTTTGGAAGGGGTTAATATAAATACATGTAAAACACGGGTCATCATTTCTGCATGCACAATATATTAAAGTGTAAATGTGTCGTTCACGGCGGGTTTATATAAGTATATTTTCAAGACTATATGGGAAAAACAAAAGTTTCGGTTTTGCCGCAGTGCATTCTGGGGGTTACAGTTTAGTGCCACATATCCGTTTCCATTCAGCAACTTTTGCTTTAGTCAGACCGAGTCCAGCGGCCGGGTCTGCGCTTGGAGCTTCCACGATGTGTCTCTGTGACTGTGGGTTAGTGAGTGGATATCGACTGGAGGGACTATAACTGTGGCTGTGGATATGAACGCTTCTCGGTGAACATGTGTGGATTCGTCGTCTCATGAACAAGAACCAGATAAGCCAAGTGTCCCGAGGAAGCTAGCGTGGCTAACGCGCATATATATATTTATATATACATACATTGAGTGGAAGAGCTGGTTGCTCGCCTGCCGCCGTGTTTGCATACGGACTGGATTTGCTACTATCTGTTCCAGATCTTTACACGCAGTTTGTGTTGTTTCTGTGTTCAACATGGATAACAACATGTACGATCTGTGTAGAGGGTTAAGATCCCCTCTGTTATGAGTTTGCCTTCACTGAAATCGCACTTTCTAGACCAAATAGATACTATGAGGATCCCAGGATTTTTCTCAGAGGAGGTGTGTTAGCTGCTTCATTCGCAAAGAATGTCCGACTTCGAAAGTGGAAGTTCATATTCCGGTTTGGATGATCCACGGTGGCTGTGTATGGTCACCCTCTTCATCGCATCTCTGGTCACTCTGGCACTGTACTTCATACAGTACATTCAACAAAGGGTCGCAGGAAATAAACAGAGGACAGTCGTGGACAATGCGGCGAAGAAGGAAGCCGACGCTTTTCTGAAATGGGCGCTGTCACTAGAAAGCTGGAAAAGTCAATGGAGAGAGACCTGGTGCAGGGCTCTGAACGACGAGTCGAGAAAGCGTGGGGTAAGTCTCATGACGACCGAGCCTCCACTCCTCTTTGTGGCAGCAGGTGACTTGAATAAATAATGGAGACAGGAGCATTCAAATGGTCTGCAGACTGATTACCTCATAAATGGCCTCATTCATTTATCATTTAAAGAGTCAGCAGCTTCAGATGTCACCATATGCTACGGCATCATTCAGCCTTAACAATAGAACAGGTAAAAGGTTCAAAGTTTACATCTAATGATTTGATAAATCAAAAATCACACAAAAAGTGTCTTTTTAAAATGGTAAAAATCCCCATAGACAAAACAGAAGAGCAGCTCCGAGGTTTATACAGCTAAGTAGCAGTTGTCTAGACAATAATGCAGTACTACCTTGAAAGGCAGATACAGTGTCCATCCAAATATAAGATAAAAGATTAAAGGACCTCAACACTTAAAGGCCACTTGAGAACTTCCTCAGACAATAGAATTTCATGCTTCCTTTATTATCATTCCCAAGAGGTAGTAAAGGACACACTCCTTTGCTACCTCTTGGGAATGATAATACCTTAAAACATGTTGATGTTGTTTAAGCAGTTTTTCCTTTGGATCAATGAAGTTAAAACCCACTGACATCATGAAACATCTTTCAACAGTTGTTGAGGATCAGCCTGATGTCAAACTCACATCTATAAAATAAAAATTCTATCAGGATCCCCCTTCCACTCCCCCCCGCCCCCGCCCCCGAATTTTTAAATAGTAGCTACGACATTTGTAAAGGATTACAGAATAGGATCAGCTCACTGGATTCAACTGAAAACATTAAGTGATGAACTGTTGATTAGCTAATTAATTGGTGATTGTAATCATTGTTTAATTGTTTTGAACGTGGTTGAATAAAATGAAAGCACTTGTAATGACCTAATTAATTAATTGATTAATAATTAATCATTTGTCTTTCTCTTCATCAGGGTCCTGTTGTGCTTACGTTTGAAGAAGAAGAAGATGATGATGTTGAAGCGTCAGAGCTGGAGGTTAGCCGAGTGTCCAGTTTTCAGAAGTCTTCCACTGGTCAGGTACTGCTTTCACAGTCTATTCATTTTTTAATCAGTACACGGGTTTATATGTGCAAATCATAATGTTGTGCACATATAAAAATTGGACTATTTAAAAAAACTCTGCCTTTTTTTCCTCATGGTTAAGAGGAGTATTGTAATTCAACACAAATTAATACTACAGGATCACTCAACACTGTGTCTTTTATCAGTCATGTCTGTTGTGTGCCATCCTGTTTTAGTTTTTTTGTGAAGTCAATTACTGCCTGCAGGTCTGTTTGGCGAGGTCAGGTGGTATGGATGTCTCACTCTATTATTGACTCGGCTGGCTTGCCAAGCACACATTGCACACTTGACACAATTGTTTTTGTGATCATCATTATAAAAAGCCAAATACCATGTAAACAAAGGCATACTTAAATCCTCCCACTGTGTTGTGTAGTGTGTATGTGTGTGCTCCAATTTCTTTAAGAAGCTTATAAATCTGTCAAGCTCTGCACTAGGGAGTAGCGGGCTAACACTCAGGAATGTATCAACACCTATGTTTTTGTCAATGTTTCCCCTTTTAGTCTTTTACACCATACTAGACAAAATACATCCACAGAGAGCAAAATGAGTAATGTCTTTCTATCCATGTGAAACCTCAACTGTTTAGGTTGTGAAGGTTTAATGTACTCACATGAATAAATGTGTTGATACAATCTTTGGATTAAACTATTAGTCTGTCTTCATTGACTTCACTGAAGCCAAATATGTTCTTTTAAATTTGTTTCAGCAAGTCCAAAAAAATGCACTTCACCTTAATACTATTTTTGTTTTGTTTTTGTATGCTTCTTTTTTTTTAAATAATTTATTGACTCTCCCACTCTCCCACTCTAAAATAATTTATTGACCTCTCCCACTCAGAAACAATTTTTTTTTTCCCACTCAGAAACATTTTTTTTTTTCAAGGCAGGATATCAGCAACACATAGTTACATAGTTACAATTAAAATAACATCAACTCCAAAGACTTTACTCTTTCTTTAGAATCAGAAGTTCTGTTCTGGCATCAGGAGCTAAATGTTTTTCCAGTTCAGTTCTTATCATTGGAACAACCCATTTTAAAGTATCCAAAACTGAAGGTTGTCATTTTTTCATTTTTAGGTTAAAAGAGAGCTACTACTTTATAAATGAAAATATACCAATGACTGAGGTAGCGTGCTGATAACGAAGACTTCTTTACTTTCTGTAAAGTACAGCACTGGTGTTTAACTAGGAACTGGTAGATCCATAGTGTAGTGGTTAGCACACCTACCTTGTAAGGGGTTGAGTCCTGAGGTCGATTCCCAGAGGAACCACATATTCCTAATGGCTCCTCCTGTGTGACAGCCCCTGAGCTTTTCTGTTTTTGAGTCATTTCTGTTTAACATAAAAAACAAGATTAGTAAAAATCCCAGTAAGACATCTCAGTTCATGAAGTCTGAATGTGCACAGGCACATAAACGAGTACTGTAAATAGCAGTATTAGTCCATGTGGTTGAATAAACAACACAGTTCAGGCAGGGTAAATTATTTTCTCGTCATATTGCACTTATTCCCTTTTAGTCATGGTCATGGTCTACATTTATGTTGCATGCAACGACCTAGCTGCTTTAGTCGCTCCTCACCTCCCTATGTATCCGTGTATCTTTCCAACAGGCTGTTTGCTGCACTGTGGTCGGGGAGAAGCTTCAGTTTGCCCTCAGTGCGTCATTGCCAGCAGTGGCTACAGGAGACCCCTGTAAATACACCATTACATTGACTCCCCTAGAGTTACAGGTAAATGCTCAGCAGTGTTGTTTTCTTCACAAAATCTGATGTACTGGTAAATTAAACCCATGTTATCAAGGAATCAACAATCATATGGACGAGCTTCACCAGAAAGTGAAACTGTTTTTTTGTTTTCTCCTCCTCATCGGTTCTGTGGCTTAAGAGATCTGATCAGTTTCTCAGCTTTGGTGTTTGAAATGTACGGATCTACGCTTCAATACAAACTAACCTGAATGTATTAAGTCTATTTTTACACCCATAAGGTGCTTGTCACATCCCTTAAGCTCATTGTGCCATAAATACAACCATGTCGAGAGGCTTCAAAGAGCAAGTGGTATAAGGATTAGAGTCGGAGAGTATTTGGTTTTAACCATTATATTTTCACAGTAACGTAAAACAACAGTGTTTTTTTTACTTCCATTCTTTTTGTTCTAGTCTGAAACAGTCAAAAAAAGCCCCCTTTGATGCTCTCTTTCCATTCACTGAGTCATTGGTCCGAGCTAGAATGCTCTTGACCTGTCTTGTTGTGTAGCTGTGCAACAGCAGGCCAGTACATTGCAGTAGATGCCATGCTTTTGTCCTCTAACACATGGCAGCACCACAGGGTGTGTGTGGATGTGACGCGAAACACATGTGACATGTATCATGCTAATGGTTTCCTCATCTTTGACATGCAAATATTACATTTGCATCTTACTAGCTTGACTACACAGCAGACATCTTGCTCTCAATCATTTACAGGGCCCTTGGTTCAATACAGGGAAACTTTATTATGGTTTAAATTGCATTTTGGTTCATTTGCTTTGCTGAGGTTTCAGGAACTGATTCAGATACATTAATCAAATAGTGTTATTACTATTGGGAACCTCTGTGCAGCATCACGCAGGCAGTTGTTGTTTCTTTCTTTGGAATCCAGGCGTGCTGGGGCAAGATATCGCACTCTGTTTTTAGTCTCCTCCTTTTTCTTGGTTGAGTAATGATGTCATGTCGCACCCTGGTATTCTCATGGTCAAGATGCCAGGTTTACCAATGGCCAATATGAAGTTTAAAAATAAGATTTGTGGTTAAATTTCTCAACAATGAACACGTCAAAGCAAGTGTTAAAACCCAGAGCTGCTAAGTAAAAAATGATAGAAAAAGCTGATTTATTATTATTATTATTATTATATTATTATTGTCATTGTAACACAGGGATACAACGAAATTGAGCCTCTGCTTTTAACCCATCACCAAGGTAAGCAGTAAGTTATCAGTGTAATTATCAAATTACACAGTCTCTAGTGCTTATTAAGTTATGAAATCTAAATTTATTCTCCTTAAATATGTTTTTGTTTCATATAAACAATGCTCTTCATTTATTGTTTTACTCAGAGAAAGTGGCACGCACTGTGTGACAATTACGTTTGAAATCTTTCTTTCAGCTTGATCTGCAAAAGCAACAAGCTAAAGATGAAATCAAGGCAAGCTGGGGTATGTCCCAGCTGGACACTGAGGATGTGCAGGTGACGCCCATATCAATCCAGGTAATTAGCTGTGAGAGAAAAAAATGATACAGTATCTGTTGTCAAGTCATGTCTTTGTTTGAAGGAGCAAGACGTAGGGAAGACTGCAGTTAGATTAACATTGTTTTCTGTCACTGATCAAGAGACACTTTCATTCATGAATATCTTGTGCATTTGTAACACAACCAAATTCATGTCAGACACTGATCCTGATAGTATGTAGCATGTAGTCCACTGAAGAAAGAAGACACATTGATGTCTCGATTACCCAATAGTCTCCGATAGGATTATTATTGTTTTTAATGTAAATTCACTGTGTGCCTCTGTGTCATGTCTCCGTCAGGACAATGTACAAACATCAGCTGTGGAAGCCATTCAGGAGCAGCTCAGGAAGCTGCTGTGTGCAACACGCCCCTCTCTGTTGCTGAGCTGCAGGCCTGCTCAGGCATCAGAGAACACGGTGAGTAAAGTTATCATGCCTGACGAATGTATTTAGTTCCCTGTGCAGACATGATGTTCTGTGAGTACCTGAGTATTTGCGTTTTTAATAACAAGAACATTTTATGTTGTCCTCCAACTACAATTTTTTCACTATAAATGTTTGGGGTTGGGATTAAAAATTGTCATTGCCTGATGCGGTTAACAATCAGACCTAAATCTTGTTCCTTAGACAAAAAAAACTAAAAATGTATATTATATTTGAACTCTAGTCATAGCCTTTTTCTTGCAGAAAAAAGTATTTAAAGATCAGTAGATGAGTCATTGTTTAGCACTTAAAAAACAGCCATTTTTCAGTCAAATTACTTTGGAAACTAGTTTCGCGCATTTTTCACACTCATCACATGTTGATTAAGAAGTCCTTTATTTGTCCTACAATGGGGAAATTCACGGTTGTCCTGTCATGTGTTTCTGATGTCATTATGCAGCTGAGAACTAACATCAAAGAATGTCCTTTCAGTATTTTGGAGAACCTGAAGAGATTCACAGTTTAAGGTTAATTATGTCAACTTATTATTAATGCTCATTTAAATAGTTTAGAAATGGACCTAAATATCTTTTGCATGTCCCATGAGCCATATTTACACTCAGTTTGTCTACCTGATAATCCCAAACCAGTAAACCACTGTAAGTACTTCAGGAATTCCTCATTATATTTCTACTAACCGGCTGATTAAACAAACAGGACATGGCCACCGTTTTAGAACTCAAAGCCCTGTCTGTTTCAAATATATATATATATTTTTGGGGGGGATAACATTGATGATGGGTAAAACACATTCTGTTGTGTGCAGTGGTGTGCTGTTTCACAATGACACCCAATAAACACCCAATATGAGTCTTTAACAGCCTGTGACTGTTAAGGTTTTTTTTTTTTACTGGAGGTGAACTTTACCCAGAGGTCACTTCTTCTTCAAACTCATTGCCATGGTGATTTGATGTGGTAATAACAGCTAGTAAAACTGCCTGGTGTTGAATAACAGCTGATCCTCCACTCTCATCAGCTGAAATTGAATTTCTTAGAGCTGTTATTTTGACTAATGTGAACTGTTGATTACCACATTTGTTCCTCTATTCATTTCCTACTCATTCTTTAACAGGAAACCGCAGACAGAGTGGTCTCACCTCCCAAACCTCCCCGTGCTCACGACTGGAAGCTGCTGCTGAAAAACATCCGTGTGACGCTCGGTCAAGAGGAAAATGCTGCAGGTCAGATATTTCTCCTTTCATCGTCATCACTTTACACAGGTTCTGATCAGCTATGTGTTGAACTTTTAGAGGTAGTTACCATAGTGTCGTCCTACGGTTTATTCACTTATCAACAATACTCTGATAAAATAAACTGATTTTGTCTGACTGGATTGTGCAACGTTTACACTAATGTATTTGAGGCACAAATGTATTTACAATAATGTATTTGTGTGATTAACAAACACAAACACGTGAAGGAAGAGCAACTCAGAATGGAGAAAGCTGTGAAATCTGGAGATCCACTGTACCATCACTATTCCATCCAGTTTTTCTTCTTAGAATGGAAGACTCATCCCTCACAGAGATAGAGGAGACTGTAGAGAAAAACACATGCTCACAGACAGTGTCATTTAATAGACAACTACACACCTACAGTTGGAGACCTGTGGCAGATGATAGTAATCGCCAGAACTACAGTTGTTGTTAAACAGCCCAAGCAAGTTTTTTAAAAAAAGGAAGATTTTAGTAACTAGTCACAGATACATTCTGTACAACTTGGTTTGCTGAACATGAAAATGGTTTCTACAAAATAGATTTTGTAATGTAATAATAACAATACAAAAACTTTAACAAACCCCACGCTGTTGTCAGCCATGACACCAGAGAGCGTGTTACAAACTGATTAGAGGTTTTAACATAGTCAGACCACAAGTGCTTTGTTTTGGTAGTTCCTGTGGTGAGTCACTCCGACAGTGAGTCAGCTGCTGTTGGAGATGACCCTGTTGGTATTCTACTCATTCTTGTGCAGCAGAAACATGACACAGCACTTGGCCCAGTTCCTCTTCCTTTGTACTTTTGTCTTTAAGACTTTAGGAGACAGTTGGCACAAAGTTTTCTTCTGTGTAAAGGAGGATGTCGTGCCTTATAAGTCTTTGCTGCAAAATATACAGTACTGTTTAACTGGAGTTCTCCCTCTGTTCAATGAAGTGAAGCCACTGTAGTGACCACAGCAAATTAAAGTGATGCAGCAGCACATTTGGTTTGATCACTTGTCAGCAGGGCCAGGAATGAATGGACTCCTGGGCCACACAGCAAGTTTACATGATGTGAACTGAGACGGTTTTTTTGTGTTTATTTCGGCTGTGTTTGCAGGCAGCACCAATCCTCTGTGTGTACTACAGTTGAACGATCCTCCTCAGAAGTTTAACACGTCTGTTCTAACAAACACAACCGCCCCTGCCTGGGACCAGCCATTTATCTTGTAAGTCTCACACACCAGCAGGAGGTGTGAAGTCCTATTTGTCCTCTGTCCTTCTGTTGTCCGTACTTATTTTGTTTGTTTCACTTTCTCCTCAGTGAATTAAATGGACGGTCGAAGGAGCTCAGCATTCAGTTGATGAATGACGGACAAACTTCGGAGGGTAAGCGAAAAGTCAACGTAATGGCTGATGTTGTATGGATGAGTGATGACGATCACATGACTGTTTCTTCCTTGTCAGACTCATTACTGGGTCAGGCGTCGGTGCCTTTAGATCTCGTGCAAAAACACCCCAAAGGACAGCAAACGTTTGCACTCATGACCAAAGACACAGTGACCGGTTCACTTATTGCTGAGGTAGGACTGACCATCACCAAGACCTTATCACACTGTGGCTTTAGAAATGTCCCAATGAGATGGTTTTGTTTAAAAATGTCAATAAAATAGAATCAAAATATTAACTGTGTCCCTTTGGATTTGTAAGTTCACCTATTTGGAGCCCAGTGAAGTGAGGTCCTGGCACCCCCCAACCCCAGCCATCAGTAAGAAAGTGGAGATGGACAGAAAAGTCATGCCCTGCGGCACAGTGGTCACCACCATCACCGCGGTGAAGAGCAAACCAGGCCGGCCCCTCCCACTTGGACTGAGTATAGGTAAAGCACTTCAGTACTTTAATACTACATAGCTCCAAGACAAGAAGGACACAGACTTTGTTCTGGGCCACACCCTGAGTTTGAACGGCTTTGTTGCGTCCGCCTGGCTATTCAGTGAGAGGGCTTGGTTTTCATACGAGGTGCAGCCACTGTGTCCACTCATTAAGCCTCCACACAGAGGGAGGAGAGTCTCATTCATTAGCTCCATGGAGATATGTAACGTTTTTCCTAGTCACTAAAACGGTTAAAAGCATTTATTATTATCATTGAGTGGAGGACACAATAATAGTCCTGTCTACAGAAGAGAGCTGCAGAATAAGTTTGGAATCCACTAAATTGTACCAATATTGGCAGCTTCACTTAAAAGATATTTACCTTATTAAAGGATTTTTATTCACCAACACTAAAAAAAAATGTAAAAGTAGTAACTCTGACATTTGTCTCCTTTTGTGGTGAGACTTCACAGCCTCAGCTGGTGTATCACGCTGATAAGCAAACTTCCAAACATATTTCAGATTGTTGTGTCAACACTGTCATTGTGGGAATGTTAACAATTAGCTCAGTACTCAGCTGTCAGCTGCACCTCACATCTTTTTAAATGTCAAAACTCTTTGCACATATAACACAATAATTCAAACCATTAATTAAGTATTGCACCTAATTTCTGTCATGAGTGACAGAACACTACATACAGTTGCTAGGCTTGACCAATACGTGTTAACATTTATAATATTTATAATTTACGATTTAAAAACAACACATAGAAGTGATTCAGGGCATTCAGAAGAATGTGGTGAGCGTTTCTGAAAGGCTCAAACATTACATAGCTCAGCAGTGTGGCATATAACACTGTGACAGATGAAATGTGCTGATGTCAAACAACATGACTAATGACAACAGAGCTTTACAGTAGAAGACATTTGACATTAAAAGCTCAGGTAACAACAGTAATCACTTCATTGTTTGAGTGGAACTTCACAGCACAGTCATGCTGACTCAGTATTCTAATGTGTTATATTGCTTGCTGTGTTTATCTCCACAGATCACATTTGTTTATTGGTTACAATAAAAGTTCTGTTTTGCTTGATATGGAATTTAAAAGGAAATTAAAAATATATCAGCTATTACTGAATGGTTGTGAAATGTTTTTTTTTCCTGGTATTTTATTTGGGAGTCAGTGTATATGTGTGACACTCAGGCAGCTGTGAATTAAAATCCATTTTTTCCCTCAGATTCTTCCCAAAAGGCAGTGGTCAACAAGCCCAAGTTGTCCGAGCGACGCGTGTCCGAGCAGGGATCTCAGTCAGGGGCCACTGTCAGCAAAGCCTTGTCCTCCTCCGACACGGAGCTGTTGATGCTCAATGGCACGGATCCAGTTGCAGAGGCTGCCATCAGACAACTCCACCAGTCTGCCAAGCAGAAGCTCAAGTCTCCAGTGAAGAAGAGCACCATCATCATTTCAGGCATCGCTAAAGTAAGGATAAGCTGCTCTCAGCGACTTGATGATGCTCTCTGTAACTGGTGCATGCATTTTATTATTATGAAAGGGATAGATTTCAAATGAAAGTTGCCCACAGCGGAGTTTTATTTTTAAAATGTCATCACATTAGTGCATTAGAAGGGTGGAGTGCAGAGCCAAAAAAAGGAGAGATATAATTGTTTGCCTAATTCAGCTAATCCAGAAAATTAAAAAAGTGTTTGTCCGTCTCTAAATGTTCACCTCAAGTGATACTTGTTAAAAACTGAAGCAGATCTTAGATAGGAAATTAAATCTCCCACTATAGGATAGCCTCAATAGTCAGTAAAGTCTCAACAAGTCACATGCTACACTGCTTCTGTGAGGAGCTCATTGGCCACGCTGCTGCATTCATGTCAGCGGTTTGGACCAAAGAACAAAAGTGCTTAAAGCAGCAGCATCAGCAGCATTTTGTCTTGGTGATGTTTCGACCTGATTATTTCTTCACACTTTGAGAGGATGGTATTTTTAACAAGTGTGTTATGGCATCATCACACTGTGATGTTAGGCTGTTTTTGTCCTTGAAAAATACGGTGATATCGGTGTCAGATAGAACCTCAACGGTAAATGACTCTAGGCCTGGTTAGACGGCTAATTCAAAGATGACTTCTTCCATCAGACGCCCTTGTCTCAGGATGATGAGTTGGCACTGATGGCAGGCTACGCTGCAGCGATGGACGCCTCCATGTCAGAGGGCAGCTCCACTCAGGATGTGACGGCAGCCATAGCGTCAGGGTCCAGCAGCCTGCCGGAGATGTTGGAGCCGCAGGAAGGCCCCAGCGGAATCGGTCGACCTCCAGAGGACTGGGAGAGCCAGGCGGGAGAGGAACTAGAGAACGCATCACTGTCCATGTGTGTGTCTGAGGCCACCTGCAAGAAGAGCAGAGGTGAGGAGATGCAGATTATCAAGTTCATGGATGTTGTGGCAAAGTTGGCCTTTGTAGAACTTTTCTGGATGGTGTATCTTAAATTAGGTTTTAATTTCAGCTGTTACCACTCAGACTTTTTAGCACTATCTCTAGTGTAAGTCTCACGGCCGAGGTCCGACACAAATTCACCGAAGAATCCATTGTTCAGTCAGTGATGTCATTCACTTCTGTGTTCTTTGTTTTTCCCCTCCTACAACTTTACACTTCCCCCTCTTCACTCTCTCCACTCTCACCCTAAAGGAAAGCAGTGCTAAGTTGAGTAAGTTGCATCATGAGTTACTTCTAGTGTCTGTGCCATAGTTTGAACCTCATAGTTGCTGTTGGCTGCACTGTAGATAACGGTAGATGATTGTTAACAGTATCAATCAGTAGCTGAAGCGGTTTATTTTCTCAGTTTCCATCTTGTTCATCACTGCTGCTTTCAGTCTCCTCCTCTCTGCCCAGTTCACACGACGTGTTTTGCGTCGAGAAAAGGTGTTGTTAAACCAAACATTAACTTGCACGTAGCGAGGACTGCCTCTCTGTGGAGCAGCTGGGTGTTTTGATGAGCTTTTAAGCAAAGCACAGTAGTCGTAGTAGTAGTACACAAAGTAGTTAGTAGTAGTGTGTGTAGAAGGTATAGAGAGCTTGTTAAACTTCTATTGACTCCTTCACATAGAAATGTTAATGCCTGCCACAAAATAAAAGTATAAAATCAAAGGTTTTTTTCACACCAACTTTAAAGAAGGCATCGTTTACTTTATCATCCTGCTGATGCCCCCCCACTCCCCTGTCTTCACCAGAATAACAGTGGATTCATCTGCCCCTAACCTCTACACTGATTTATTACTCCATAGATAGAGATCCTTTTAAGAATTTTTATTTCCCTTTTTTATGTGTTAGCACCATATTTCTCAAATTGACAATGTGTCTTAATGATGAAAGATCTCCTGGAGAAACACATTTAAAATTTAATTTTTTTTATTATCACATACCAAACACTTCAACTTGTTTTTATTCTGACCAGGACCTCTATCATTATTAATGTAAGTGCTCTTAGACTTAACTAAGTCAGTTCTGCTGCCTGTCATTTACACACGCACATGATGCACAGTGTTCGGCCGGCTGTCATGTGCCTCGTGAAGAGCCCTGTCATAAAAGCTGTTGATCATTTAACACATGACCATAAAAGCCTGCTGTCAAAACTCTGCTCTTCTTCCTGCTCGTGTCCTAAAAGTCATGGACATTGGCTTTGTCATTGTCCCCGAAAGCTAGTGTGAGTCCTCTGTCCTCAGCTGTCCTTTCTCCTTTAGTTGAGTCTCCCCTGCCTCTGCTGTGTAGCCGGGTAGACTGTAGCTCAGAATGAGAAATGTCTGTTGTCATTCTAATGATCGAGCGCTCTGCCAGACACCCACGCTGCTCAGTCTGACGTTTGTGTCCTCATGTCTGTCCTCTCTGACCAGATTTTCCTGTCTTCCTCTTTAACAGGCAGCTTTCTACAAAAAAGTGCAAAGCTCTTCTTCCGACGCCGTCACCAGCGCAAGGACCCGGGGATGAGCCAGTCTCACAATGACCTGGTTTACTTGGAGTCTCCATCCACGGTGGAGCGCGCCAGCCGAACAGCTACGCTCAGCCGCATGCTCAGCCGAAGGAGTAGGAATAAGGGCAAAGCCAACGGCGCTACCTCCGTCGGGGAACCAAATGCTTGACCCCCTGGCCCCTCCCACCTCCACCCTCTCATGACCTCAGTCCCCCCTACAACAGCTACTATCACCACCTCAACTTGCACTGACAAGCTAGCTGGCTAATAACTGCATCTGTAAACCGGGCCAGTGCAGCGTGAATGACAGAGCTGCGCAGGTGGAAAAATGTCCTCTTTTATTGCCATATCCTGCTCCAGTGCTTCCTATTAGAAGCAAACTTTGCACCAAACAGCAGTGTGTGCATGTGTGGATGAATGTATCCTGTCCTGGCTTGATGACGTTTCAGAGGAAATTATTCAGCATGTTTATTTGAATTTCTGCAAACACGTTAAACTTGCTTTTATGGCCTTGTTATGAACGAACGGAAGGGAGGAGGGTATGGGGGGGGGGCGCAGTAGGCTGTCAGTTTGTACCTCACCAAGGGTAGAGGGTGGGATCTCCCTGCTGTAGACCGTAATGCTTCCTACGGTGGACAAACTGGACCAAAGATGAAGAGCAGAGTGGTTGGTTGTATGATTTGCTCTGTTTAGACGCCTTATGTTTAACACTGCAATGACATCAACCGCTCTCGTGATAAAGGGCTCTTCTTCAGGTCGAAATCATGTTAAAAAGGGAGACGATGACCTTTCACTGCGCAACTAGTGCTGGTGTGAGACCTTAATATGACTACTTACTGACACTAAGACTATGAAATCCTTATTTAAATTGAGCGACAGCGCTTGTCTTTTTTATCCCGAACGACTCAACAGCCGTGCAACACACATGTAAAGCTGTGCCACAAAATGAAATAGAACATTAACTGCTAATAAGAGACCATTAGAATTGGCAAAGCGTAGATTTAGTGTTGTCAAACATTATGCCCCAGCCAAAAAAACAAACATTATTCTATAATAAATACATAATTATATATGAAAACTTCAATGTTTACTCCCCTGTGGTGTTATCTGATATGCAACTTCCTTTCCTCTTTGTCTTCTCTAAGATTCCTCGTGTACACTACAAATTATCACCAGAACTGCAAATATGAGAAAAGGAAAAGGGAGTAAACTTTTATCAAGAGACTGTGATGTCACAAATGGCCATTCTTCCCGTGACTTGCTATAATGAATTGATTTTACTCTCATTACAATTGTGCATTTCATCATAATGAAATCAACACTTTTTTCAAACCATGTTTTATTAATTGTTCTTAAGGTGTAGCTCTGATATCTTGAGGTGTGAACATGTTTGTGAGCAATCAAAGTGCTTGCGCTACTTTTTTATCCAGCTAATGATTGTTTTCTCTCTCTCTCTCTCTTTCTGCACATCACGTTCTACTGTTTCCTTAGCTGATTAAAGCGGATGCATCCTAGTGAAAGATTGATTCATCAAATTGCCTTACAGATATTCTGAGAACCTGGTCATGGACTGAAGTTGTCCGGACCCACCTTTGAAAAACTGAGGGTCCGTCAACAGTTGTTGAAAATAGTGTGCTGCCCTGTCCCTGCATCATCAGCAATGTCTATAATCAAAAAGGCTATGCACATATCAGTTTACTGAGTGCTTTCCCGATCAAGACTCTTTGGGAACGCACTATTGACAGTGGTTCCTGCAGGCAAAGCGTTGGTGTCCACCCACGAACCCCTGTCACCCGTTCTTGTGCGTACAGAAACATTCACAGAATGAGATTCAGGCGGAAAAAATATAACAATGAAACGGGTTATTTTAATCATTCTCAGCTTGTAGGCTTTTGCTTAAAGCCATGTCCGAGCGGCAGCTCCAGTTGTTTGGGCTGCGTGTGATTTAATAAACTGCTTCCTGATGTTTTCTGTACATGCATCTGTCTTATAGAATGGAACATGACTGACTTGACTCCTGCTGCAGATTCAGAGTCAAGTCAGCTGCCTGTAGGGAACAAAGGTAAATACATTTATGTCATTTTCAGAAATAAATGCTATCTCAGTCGTTTTCAGTGACTTTGTGCCAACTACAGGGCATGGGGGACAATTACACTTTGTTGTGTCATGGAGCGTATTTTTTATTATAACACATTTTAATATCAGACCATTTAGCATATTAATTCATAAATAAGACCGAATAAATGACCATCATAACTTTTATTAGAACACGTTAATTCAAATTTGAATTTGTCCTGGTTGCAATCTGTTAATATTAAGGCTGTCTAATAAAATATACATTTTATTTAAGACCCTTGTATACCTGGTCCAGCTGCGTTTGTGTGTTGCCTATAGTCAAAAACATTAAGATTCTATAAATAATGTAGATTTAAATTGTCTACTAAAGTGTTTATTCAGTCCTTAAAATACTGCCGAGAGTCTGGTCATTTCCAAGTTTTGTTTTCACATAGGGCAGCGTAACCTAAGCCGCACAACTGGAATTGACTGCAGGGTCTTTCTAAAAGCATTCTTTCAGTACAAGGAAGGTATGCAATATTTAGTTTGTAGCTAAAGATGGTTTACACCAAATACTAATAGAACATAATAGTTTTTAAACATTTCTAGACCACAGTTGATTCTACTGGCAGACAAAATATTTTTTTACAATAATTGAAATCTATCAAATGTTCTTCTACATGCTCGAATACGAAGGTAAGATAAACAGTATACCACAGGTTTACATTTATGCATCCAGAATGAACCTTTGTTGCCTTTACATACCAACAATACAGACTAAAAATTGACCAATAACCACAGAGTAACTTAAAAAGTATTTACACAGTCAAACAGTTCCTCTTCCGTTGAGTGAAAATGGTTGTTTTGATTGTGTTGGTTTTGTTTCCCTGATGAAATCGAGAAAATTATGAATTTTCCAAAATACACAGCCTGGATTAAATCACTGACAACCACGACGCTGTCATTCTGTACTGAAAGAGCCTACATTCCCCATCGTGCACCGGGAGCATCTCGTTTCCGGTCCTGCGCCGTTTTTGGAGCGGATTGGAACCCGGAGTCAGGATTCGCTAAATGAGGGGTCTTCTGCAGGAAAGGTAAGGTGTTATCATTCATTAATAGTTGAGTTTTGTGTAATATTAAGGCACAGAATGTAGCTAGCGCTGCAGCTGCTCTGTCCTCCCGGCTCTCAGTCCTCCTACGCCGCCTCCTCAGGGCTCTGTCTGCCGCTCTACAGCAGCGACTCCGGCTGAGGGTTTGCGTCTCCGTTCCATCCGCCATGCCGATTGTTCTTTGTTACAGAGCCGTAAAAAGGGGCCGCTCAGATCGGAGTTAAAACCCGGCTACACACCGGGAGCGACTGAAATCCTGGATCACCACTGACTCCCGGATTGCCCGCGTTTACACGCGTGTTTCGAGTGTGCGAGCATTTGAACCCAAACATGTCGTGGTGTCACAAAACACGGTGTTTTTGCCCTGGGGCTGTGGTGCATTTAAGTGTCACTAATTTAACGTGTTCTAGTCGCTTTGTTGTCAAAGTTTTCAAATGTCATTTGTACGAGTGCACCTCTCTGTGACAGCCCCTGTCATGTGTTCAGATATATATTACAGCTTTTGTTGGTTTATAGGTGGGAATAATGGCTGAGCAAACACCAGATGAGTTCATCTGTGAGTATTCATTCAGCTCTCTGTGTTCGTGTATGTCTTTGTGTTATTCTTGCCAAACTTGGAATTGACAGATACAATAATATAATATGCGAATAAGTTTCACCGACTAGACACTCGAAGGGTGTCACCTAGTATAGTTGTTCTGCTTGTTTGCTTTTTGTTAGCTTAAAACTCACTGCTACACTCTCAAAGATGTTAAGAGAACCTGTGAAGAAGGTCGTAAACATTTGAACTGCAAATGTATGTTTTGAGTTTAAAACGTTTAAAATACAACTTTTGTTTTAGGTTGGGACATTAATGACTGAAAACCTTCCTGTTGGCTTATCTAAAATTAAAAGGTGTGTTGTTTTTGTATCAGGGTGCGAGGACTGTGGTCAGTACCATGACTGTGAATGTCCTGAACTGGGACCACTGGTGACGGTCCAGGACTCCTTTGTCCTCAGTAGAGCTCGGTGAGTGAGAAGTCTTTCAAATCTACTGTCTTTGAAGATAAACTCTTTCCAGGCATTATATTGATTGGTCAAAATGGCACGTGGTCCTTTTCAAATTTCTGAAGGCAATATCAAAATCTAAAAAATACTCTATTTCTGTTATTTCTTATTCATTTATTTACTCTCCTTGTCTTCGACCAGGTCGTCTTTACCAAACAGCCTCGAGATCAGAGAGGTGGCAGACGGCCAAGAGGGTGTGTTTGTCTTGCGGCGGCTGGTCAAGAGGACGCGGTTTGGACCCTTTGAGGCTAAAAGGGTCCATCACTTAAAAAAGGAAGGGCTGTTTCCCCTGAAGGTGGCGCTTCTTAGTTTTGTTTTTTGTATCATTTTTATTGTAGAGGAAAAATTGTGGTTTTGCTGCATTACCCTTTTCTCCCCCTAAAATGTCCAGATCTTCCAGAAAGATGGTCTAGTGGTGTGTTTTGACTGCAGCAGTGAGGAGGACTGCAACTGGATGATGCTGGTGCGGCCGGCGACTGACCATAGACACCAGAATCTAACTGCCTACCAGCAGGACGATGACGTGTACTTCAACACCTCGCAGGTACCTGCATTCATTTTAATCATAAATCTCCTATTACAGGAGATTGGTCCGGGTCTTGGGTTTTGATGGTTTCAGCTCGTGGTTTTAGTTAAACTCTGGACTTTCTATTTCACCTCAGGAAGTGCTTCCTGGGGCAGAACTTAGGGTCTGGTATGGAGCCTTCTATGCCAAGAAGATGGAGAAGCCTGTGCTGAAGCCTCCACTTCCACCACCCCTTTCATCAGGTAAATATTGTGACATCACAAACAAAAATCTTAACAGATTGAAAACTTTTTTTTTTCAGAATTTTAGTAGGAACTCTCTATTCTAAAACACTGCATGCAGAATCAGTATCAATCAAGATATTGTTTTTAGTTATTTTAATTAAGAAAAAAAATCTTGCGACTTTTTTGACTTCCTACCATATGCCTTTATGTGTTTCAATATTTTTTGTTCGTTCAGATGTCATGCCTTCACCGCCTCAAACAACGACACCTGACAAAAGTGAAGCTCACGTCATCACAGCAAACGAAGAGGCTGACGCAGGTGACTGTCGTGAGACTGAATCTGACAACAGTGGAAGTCACTGAGCGAATACCACGGCTTCATGTATCCTCTGTTCTCATCTGTTGGTTCTCAGGCATCATCCAGAGTCAACTTGACGAGGTGAAGACACTGAGCTCGCTTCCAGTCGACCAGCTCTTGCCTTTAGAAGAGAACCTGCCTTGTCCAGTTGAAGATGAGGAAGAAGAAGA